GATCTTCAGATTTTGGTGGTATTAGAGTGTGATATGATAAGTTCCGAGCCTTGTGCACTTGTGGGACCCGTCTCACGAGTGTACGGCGTCTGTCGCGTCTCGAAATCGGATTTTGGGGCGTGACAGATTTAGTGGTATCAGAGCTTAGGTTGAAATTAAGAGTTTAAGATTAAATTAAGCACCTTCAGATTGAGTGGCATCAGAGCAGATTGAGTGATATCCGAGCCTAGGTTTAATTGAATACCTAGGATTTGTTTTGGACTTGGCTAGCCAGTGGATTTTAGAACCGTGGTGAGACGAGTGATGGGGTTACATAAAGGACGATTCTGATTCATGTTGCCTGAATTTTCTCACCCATTTCGTTGAGATGGTGATCTGATTGTTCTTGTTTCTTGCCTTCATACTCTGTGTGAAGTTGTGAAAGTAATCTTTCCCGTTATGTCCTGAAGACTTTGTTTTGAAACTTGGTCATTTTCTGACAGTCCGCACTTGTTTAGGCTTGTTACGTGAATAGAATTTTTGTATGCTCTTTTGCCACAATGTTGAAATCTGGGGAGTTGTAGAGATCTTTTGTTATTGACTCTGTTTGTCTCTACAGCATAGCTGGTTGAGAAATTTGCTCTGTTTGTCACATGACCAGTGGAGGATGGGTAAACCCTCTACTTTGCAAGAGATTCAAGGTTATTTTAGCCAATGTTGTGTGTTTTTCTAGATGCGTTTTAGGAGCTGGATAACTTGGTAATTCCATTGCTCCTTATCTTCTGAAAGTGTTATAGTGAAATTTCACTTTTTCCATTTCAAGCTTCATGGTCTTTTCATGTGGCTCATTTTTCTGTATTGGTTAATCAAGAGCAGTGATTATTCAATTGAAATTGTTGCCTTGTTTTGTGAAGATTGGCAAGTTGTCATAAAGTTAAACTCTCTATGCTTGCCAATCTCTACATTCTTGATATCTGAAAATTGCTTGAAACTCTTGAAATCCATCTTTAATCTTTCTTGAGATTGCTTTGTACTTGTTCTTGAAATTGAAATCCAGAAATGGATAATGATTATTGAAATCCTCATTATCTGGATACTTGTTTGAAATTAATTCTTGCACTGTTCTTGAAATCTAGTTTGAATTGTCCTTGAAAAACCATTCTTGTCTTGACCCTGCTCTTGTTCAAATTCGGTATACCGCTCTTGCTCAAATCTTGCATATTCTACTAGTTCTTGTTTTGGTATACCTGTTGATCTTCTTGATTCTTGGTTTTTGTTCATATGGACACCTCTTTAGAAGGGGTGACGATTATCAGAAGATACCTATATGAGGTATTCTAAATTCTTGTCTCTTGCAAGTGTTAAATTCTGTATTCTTGATGCCTTAGCTTTGACTTGACTCTAGGATGACCTGATTGTAAATCTGTTTAGCCTCCATGAGCTACGAGGTGAAAGGGGTATTCTTTGAAGTACCTGCTGCCCTAGAGTTTTGTTCCAAGTGAAATGGTTCTTTGATCTAGCTGCTTGGATTTTTGTTTGCCCTTTTAATTGGAAGACATGAATCTTCTAAGCATCTTGATCCCAGTCATTGCTTTGTTCTGTTAATTAATTTTAGTACTTGAGGTGCTAGATCCTGATCTCCTGATTATATCTGCTCTTGAATTCTTGTTCTCATTGTCATTATTGAAATCTCTTTTGTGGGCTTAATCCTTGAATTCTATTGTTTGTTTCATGGTTAACTTTTGTTTCTCAATTTTGATTGCTTGGTTAAATTTGATCTTGATTCTTGGTGAATGCCATTTTGTTGTTGAATTTTTGAGGCATTCTACCTTGCACTCTTATGTTATAGTATTCTTCCAAGCATTCATATTTTCCATTGATTTTATTCTGTTGCAATTCTTGAGATTCTTACCCGTCATTGATGGGTCTAGCTTTTAACTCTTGTTAATTGCTAAAATCTGTCTCTTGATTTCAGTTGCCTTGTTAAATATGATCTTGGTTCTGGTTAACCTTGTTTTGTGGCAGAATTTATAAGGCATCCATGCACTTGTTCATTCATTCATGATTCATATATCCATTGGATGCTTATCCGTCCTTGATAGAGTTCAAATTTTGTTGTGCTCGTCATTAAATCCATGCCATTCTTTGCTAACTCGTCTTGTGTTGGGTTCAAAGCGTAACCTCACAATTGTTCTTTTGTGGCTTTGGCAGGATTTATTTCTATTCCTTGTACTTCCCCATATCACCCCAGCCTCTAGTAGCTCATTTCATGGTAAACCCTGTTAAGTAGCTAGTGTCCTGCTTTTATGGTTAGCTGTGGATTGATATCAGAGTGGCGCAGCGGAAGCATAGTAAGCCATGTCTGTTCATAGAAAGTTAGTGAGTGGGGCATTTGTTTTGTCTTGGATTGTGTGAAGCCACTCACCACTTGATATGGTCCTCAATTTGAGTTTTGGGGACAAAACTCCTTTTTAGGAGGGGTGGATGTAATACCCCAAAATTTT